TTGACACAGTACCGCCTCGGTCGAAAGCCTGTTTGATTTTTGCGATGTTGTTCATTTATTGGTTGAATAATGGGTTCCAAAATTATTTTGTTGAAAAATTTGTTTACTATTTAAAGTAAAGAAATTTCTCTCCAGTTGTTACAATCAGCAAGGTTACCCTTATTGTACTATATTACGCTCTAAATTCAAATTGGTGGTTTGAATCAGTTTTTTCTGTCCATAATTCTAGAGGTAAGATCTTCTGCAGTTAACTTTCTAGTGACACAAGTTGTGTTCATAATTTGCAGGCAATATTAAATATAGAAAGTCTGATCAAGAATTAATTTTATCAAAAATAATTTATTCAAATTTAAATGTTTTTTCCTTCCCTTCGTAATTGTCCCCCTTTGATAGTCTGCACATACACAACCGTAGTTTTGATTCTAAAACAAACTGTTTAAATGATTTCTTGGGTATGGTCTTGTGCTTTTTTTTATGATTTCTCCCATATGTAATCTATTCATAAAAAACATTGTCATGTATAAATGAGACATCTATTCATGATAATGTCCGGAGAATATTTTATCTGTACCATGACAGTGATGTTAAGTTCAAGCACTAACACTTGAATAAGCAAAACAAAAAAAAAATTTTATTGCATCTCGTTTCATCTCAAAAACCTACTAAAAATCCTTTCGAATATTCCACATTCGACATTCCTATATCTTTAGAATTTCTTCTAATCTAATCATCTAGTTTTATAATGGTTTTCCATTGACAAGAACAATTCGTTTAATTTTTTTTCACATCAATTTGCAATTTTTTTATCTTTTATATTTTCATCAAAACGTTTTAACTATTATTAATTTTTAATTATGAAATAGTGTCCACATCAAACTCGTCCATCAAAGTTTGAATACTTTGTTACACTGCATCTGAATTAAATAATTCTACATTCGTAATCTTCCACAAAATTTTTAAGGTAATTAATCATTATCTAATTCCTGTTTCTTTAATTAGTAATTTTGGTAAAAGTAGAGTTCGAGCAATTCAGCTAAAATTTATATTTAATCACTCTACTCTTACTCTTACTATTACTCCTTTTCTCATCTCACACCCACAGCCACTCCCACTCTTATTTCTACTTCTACTCCTATTTTAAATCCTATTCGTATTCCTACTCTTACCTTACTCGCAATCTTACCTTATTACTCTTACTTTTCCTCTCTTTTAACTGAATATGTTGTTTCTGTAATATAAAAATTATTACTATTGAATTCGATCATTCCACTTTTATCGGAAAACTTGATGGACATTGGATCATGTTTTATTTAGTTAGTCCACTATACAATTGAAAGCAGTCTCTGTTGATATCCATTTCTCGATTAAATGACTTCGACGTAAGGAAATATTTGTGATGAATATTTGTAGACGCAGTCAAGCAGCCAATAAGATCTTTTCTAGTGTTTAAATCACCTCAGTTTGTATCAGAATATCGCAGAATTTTTGAACAAGAAATCTGTTTAACCTCATTATTAAAAAAATCTGTACATTTATCAGGCATTTTAAATTGGTCATGAAGGCACTCTCAGCACTTGTGATGCCAATAAACTTACCTGCAGTAGTACATGACATCTTTTAATATTAATCACCATTTGGCTATAGGTTTGTTTATTTACTGAGCACTTTAAAAATGGCTGATGAAAGAAGGTTCAATGAGCTTAAACTTCAATCGACTCATATGACATGGACCGTGTAAAGTTAGAATAAAAATAGACTGCTAATTAGATTACTCCTTGCTTTCCAATACAATTGTTGTACTAATAGGGAATGCATATTAATCTAACACTGACTTCATTTAATGACTAATATTATAGCTGTTAATAGAGAGAGAAAAGGAAACAGTATTTATGCAAATAAGTCTCTATTTGCCTGATTTTTTCCAGACGGAGCCAATTCTTCATAAAAGTTCATTTCCAAAAATATTTAGTTGGTTTTTAAAGTCAGTATTGACGAAAAAAAATAAAATCCTAATGCAAAGTATTGTTTTCAATAGAGAAGTTTTTATCAGTAGTGATATTGCAACAACAAAAATTTAATTAATAAGAAATAATAAAAAATAAATTTTGGTTCTTGCAATATCAATAAAATATTTAGGATATCTTTAATGTGGACTTACTTCGCTCACTTTGTCATAGCTAACAGCTTAGTTCAAGAATGTGTAACGAAGCTCATAGAATGTGCTCATGGAAATGAGGTGACTGTCATGTGGGTTAAAGGACACATCGGTATTGAGCAAAACGAGAAGGCAGATGAACTTGCTACGTAAAGATCAAGCCATAATTTCTGTAGCCCAGAGCCCAGAATACCATTGAGTTACAACATGAGAGCAGCCTATGTCTATAAGTGGATATCCTCACTTCATCTTAATAGGTGGAGAGAGTTGAGCACATGTAAAGAGACCAAACTCATTTTGCCGAAACCGTGGGCCAGGGAAGCGATAAAAGTGCTTAGCTATTCGCGGAGCACTCTAAGCTGGCTGACCTCACTAATTACTGGACATGGCAACTTCAAGTATCACCTCAAAAAGATAACTCTTGCTGAGGAAAACACTTGCAGACTATGTCTAGAAGAAAAGGAAACAGCGGTGCATATATTGTGCCAATGCCCAGCACTGACAAGTAGAAGGAAGACTGTCTTGGGACACCATTGGGTTGGTGATGACTTGGCAGGAAACCTCAAGCTAAATGAGCTGCTTGCATTAACAAAAGATGTAGTTATACGAACGGAAGCCACCCCACCCCGTTGTTATTGTTAACTCAATAACAACATCCGAGAATCGAAGGACGAAAAAGGACCCAAGTAGTTTCGTGGTCTACTTCGACTAATCCTTTAACTCAGTGGGGCCACTTGTTGGACAGTGCGCTGTCCCATCGTCCCACCATATATATTGCTCACTTTGTTTAACCAAAAATTTGGTTCCCTGGTACACACTTTTCGGCTCTTAACCTTATTCATCCTTTATTCATCATCCTTTATTGGATTTTGTTTTCTAAAATATAATTTCAATACTTTTAATGTAAGCACTAAGTTGCTTACATTAATTGCCTACTCTGTTAAATTACCAAATTGGTTTTCTGGTTCATAGTTGGAAAATTTACTAACGGATTTACTTAAAACTCAATGTGCTAAAGAATTGTTGTTTCATTTTATTTGAAGTCTACATTTGAAGTCTCTCATTAAGGTCTGTAGGATGTACGTCTTGTAATGTTCCATGTAGGACGTACTGGTACTGATACGAGTATCTACCATTTTCTTTATGTATATGATTATATGAATCATAATTTTAGCAAATTATATGTACTCAGTTCTACCATAAGTTACTTACGTTAAAGTTTAATTCTTGGTCATTTTATATCAATAAAAGGTTTCTTCGACCTACTTGACTATAATATTTTTTGATTGCATATCCAATGCTAATGATAGGTTAAATCTTCAAGCAAATAATTGACCACAGTTTTTGGTTTAAATTCATTTTTCGTTATATATTTTTTGCTTGGGATATTTCATTTTTACAATACAAATAGTTTATTTACAGTTTTGCAGTATAAACTAAACCTTTCATATGTTTAATATTTATTAAGTGTATTTTTCATTTTATTTCCGTATCATTAATACATCTTAAATGCAGCAACTTTATATTATTATTTTAGCCATTCTGAATGTCTTGTCCCATGATTTATATAGTTATATTATATATATTATTTAATTTTTGACATAGCGTAGACATTTAATGTGTACATATATTTGCATAAATATTTGCTTATAAAGATACTTTTTTGTTTGATTCTTAATATAATTTATCATATAAATTGTCTCAAATACATTTTAATTTAACTTTATTTTCGCTCAAAAATTTATCTAATCATATTTTCGTACGTATATATGTCAATTTCCTATGATATTTATTTAAATTACTTACTCTTTTTGTTTTTCGTAATATTAAGGATTAACTTCTGTTAGATATGCAATAATTTTATTTTTCATATATTAACAATTTGCACATATTTTAATACAAATATGTTAATAATTTGCAACAAAATTGATATCAGATATGATTAAGTTCATAACTTTATGTCGTTGAGGAGATAAAATGAATTCAATAGTTCTCTTAGTTTGGCACATATTTTTTGTAATTAATTTACGTATAGGGGGAAATTATTCAAAGGAGGGGAAGGATGTGGCATATTGCACAGAATTGCATTTTGTTGTTAAAGTTTAATGAAAATTTACGAGTAATATCTTAACTTCAATATCTCAACATTAACTCTACGCTTTGAGCATATACTTATTTAAATATATATATGTATATAATTTCATTTATTTTTGTTTATGTACTTATATGTGTGTATATACTTATGGTTTTCTAAATAAATGCATAATTTTGAATATAGATTTTATTTGATTTTTGTTTATCTGTGATTTAGTCTCTTACCTACACACATATTCATCGTCGATACAAAGTTAATAGTTACATACATTATTAAAGTTTAGTACATCCTTTATCAGGATGTTTTATTTTTGTTGTTTTACAAAAAGTGCTGCAGTTTACTACTTGTGCAAATATTTACAAATATATAAATACAAAATAATTGATAACAAAAATTATTTACAATTTTCATTTTATATTGATACTACGTCAATTTTAACAAAGTTTTTATATATTTTAAAGCTTGAAAGGTGAAAACATTACTGCAAAATTCTTTACACAAATGCCAAATATTTTATGAAATCTCGTAAATTAAAATAGTTTCAATAGTTTCAATAGTTTTCAATAATAAATTCAATTCTTGTCTTAGTTTATCTTTATCTACATATAAAGCATTTCAACTGATTCAACGGACTTAACACACTCTCAGGAAACTACAAATTCTATTTCAGTTTCTTGATTGCCTTAACTAGGAGCCTAAAATAAAATTTACATTGCAATAAAAAATTTCACTAACGAGGTAACACTGAATTGTTGCAATTTATTTTTAATTTAATTATAATTAACATATTTACTTTCGTACTTGCTATATTTGATATATTTTGCATTGAGCCTAGAGTATTTCCATGCAATCAAACATCATTTCTCACTTTACTTGCGATGCCTGTTAGCTTAGCTAAGTGTCCTTGTGGTTTCTCACAGTTTTTGTGGCTGACTTCGCACTTAATTAAGCTATAAACCGCCTTGACTGCTGTCACTGCTGTCCAATCGCAGGGTTCGTGTTGTTGCCAATAAAAGTAGTACTAATGTCCCTATTAATATTTTTATGGTTTGGTAGTGCTGGGCTAGCTTCCTAGTGCTGCTATACAGTCCTGAGTCGTTGCCGCGCTCCTTGTACAGGCGCCCGTTTTGGTTGCGTGAGCCATCTTCGTGACGATTTTCCTTGAGCACAATTTCGTTTCTCTGTAAAAACAAATATTTACAAGAAAAACATTTAATATTATCATTAATAATGTCGTTATCTAACAACAATTAAATAACTATTGTATAGTGCAATATGAATTACTTGAAGTTGTGAGATATTTTTTTTTTTATTAAACTTAAAGAAATTTTAAAATATATTGTTTTGTGGGATATTTTTCTTATTAAATTCAAAGAAATTACAGAAGAAGTGGTTATTGTTTAATATTAGTATATAATAAACTCATAAAAAAATAATTAATATATAATTATCATTAAGCTTTATTCCATCAGGAACATAGACTATTTACATAGAATCGCCAGGTATTTCTATTTAATGCTAAATATCTTAATTCATTAAATGATTTGTTCGTTTCATGTCGGAAGGTTCTACTCCAAGTGGTCCGTTACTTGCCGGGTCTTAGAGTGCCTTACGGGTTCTATTGTTGGGTGGCATGACAGACCTTTTTGCAAGATTTTCTTAATATGTGCCCGAGCCTATCGAATTGTATTGTATGTAAATAATATAAGTTGTTACAAAACGACTCAATCCATCATTTATAAAAAAATTATTAGAGAGGTTACTTAAACAGTCGTGTATTATTAATCCTCTCTATTGAAACAATAGTTACTAATAAGAAACATGATTTCTTTCATCACAATTCACTTTAAAAATCAAATTAAATTTTAATTATTCTAAACATATTTGTGAGAGTAACAGAAATAGATTCGAAACTTGAACAAGTTTTATTCACCTTCTATTTCTCTTCATTGAAACATTAGTGATATTTATAATCCAAGCTTCTTCCTAATCAGCAGAAATATCAATTGAAATCATCCATTTGATTAGTATTTTTGCCTTATGCCGTTTCAGTATATGGGCTGTTAACCCCACAGAGTTATTAAAGGGAGTTAATCTAGATATTCTTATCATACATTGTGACCGAAAAGTTTTCGGAAATTCTCATTTAAAATTCGCGCGCTGTATATTTTTCGATATTTTAGTTTATTGTGGGCAGCACTGTCCTTAATTACATGCAAATGAGCGGACTGTCGGACAGTTCGTTTACGGCAGCTGTTGAAACCAGTTCACCTCAGTAGTGCGTTGCGAAAAAAACAATGGAAAAAAATATTGAACAAAGAGTTTGCATCAAATTTTGTTTTTCGAACGAAATTTCGTGTGCAGAATCGTTGCGAATGCTACAAAAGGCTTATGGGGAATCAGTTTTATCGAAAACTCAAGTTTATGAGTGGTACAAAGCCTTTCAGGACTGTCGTACGACCGTCGAAGACATGCCGCGTTCTGGACGACCTTCGACCTCTACCACCGACGAAAACATTGAAAAGGCAAAGGAAATCGTGTTCAAAAATCCTCATGTGAGTGTTAGAGAGATAGCACGAGAGCTAGGCATCGGTCGTGAGATGGCTCGTTTGATTTTGGTGGACAATTTGTGTATGCGACGTGTCAACGCCCGGCTTGTTCCGATTCACCTCAATTTGTTCAACATTATCAACGATTTTAAGGCCAAACATTCAATAAATACCATCGAACAGCCACCGTATTCACCTGATCTTGCACCGTGTGACTTTTTCCTGTTTCCCAACCTCAAATTACCACTCAGAGGAACGCGTTTTGAATCCATAGAAGACGTAAAACAGAATTCGCAGAGGGAACTCAAAGCCATACCGGAAAGCGCCTATAAATGTTGATGATTGGAAGAACGTTGGCATTGTGTATCGCTTCTAGGAGGATTTTTTAAGAGATAAAATAAATATTGATGAAGATTAAGAATTTTGCGTTTTATTTAAAATTTCCCGAAAACTTTTCGGTCACAATTAATTAACAAGCTTGATGTTTTCATGTTGTAACTGATCGAATTGCAATTAGAATTTTGTGATATGAACAATAATACTCTAAGTACTGTTCTGAATTAAAATTTTTTTTAATTAAGATTTTTTAAAGTCTTCATAAAGATTTCATAAAGCAGTGCAGCAACAGTACTGTCTACTGTTTGAGTTACATGTGTGTATTTCCTATTAGTTTAATTATTCTAATTTAATTTAAATAATTCTAATCAATTAATAATTCCATGTATGTATCCTTAAACTACTTATAGTTTCATAAACTCCATAAATTTTGCTTGATGAACTCAAAAGCGACGGTGCAAGGTTTAATCAAAAAATAGTCTGAAGATCCCAGATATACTTTTAGATACCTGAAAACATCTCTTGATATACATTTCTTTTAAGTGTCTTATGTTCTGTGTTAGATAGAAAAGCGGAATAATTTTTAAAAAAGAAGCATTGCTTTCTTCATTTCTATATGAAGAAGAATAAACAGAAGTTTAAGGTTAAGTATATGTTTACCTATTATATATACTCTTACAATACAGAGTCAATAGTTTTTTAACTATTTCCGTGGCTTAACACTACTGTACTTTTAACACACATATCAGCATAATGTGAAATGAAACGGCCCCATTGGATTTTCTAACGGCAACAATTGAGGCTATATATTTGGATGTAATTTTTTTAATGAGAGGGAACGCGGTCTATTTAAAATCTCTGATGTTTTATGGGTAACAGCAAACAGTTTGGAAATGCAACTCAATATCAAATGAAAGTAAATGAATACAATCATTAGTATCTTCAGGTTTAAGCCACACTCAACACGAAATTCTCATTAAAAAGTTCAACTTCTTTAATGGATGTATCCGATTCAGAATAGTCTAAGCTGTGGTTTTTGAACGTTATATTACAAAATTTATACCTCCAGTCGTTTACAACAAGTTAATGCCACTCACTACCATTTTTTACTCCAAGCAGTATCAGTCATATCCTCCATATCCCTAAAGGTGTAGTTTCCACAAAATAGTTAGATCTTCATTTTAATAATGCTATATGAACAATACCAAAAAAAAAAAAATGGATCATATATCCACTAACCGCTATGACCTAAGTACTTAAAAGACTCGCTTTTTAGCAAACTCAGTCATTATTTGATTGAATTTGGTTGTAAATTCACTATAAGTTAATAAATTTGAAAAATGGTAATACGATCTACTATGAGGTCTAAATAGATATTACAATTTAAGATATAAGTACGGACCTATTACTATATATATATGTATATAGTACATCCTACATAAACAGGAAACATAAAACAATTCCAAAAATGGGAAGTATATTGAATGTTTAAGATATATAAAAACTAAATTCCTTATTAGATTGAGTTGAGATAATTATAAAAATGTGTGAAGTATTTTTATTTTCCACTTTGTTGTGTAGAAATAAAATTTTTTTTTTACTATTTATTCAATTGCTCCTTGTAAAAAATAAAAACTAATTAAAACTAATGGGGACTTAAAATAGTCGATATTAATCTTTATCTGTTACGTTATAATATAACATAATGATTAATATTTAATTTAATTAATTAGTTTAATCAGGCGGTTTAGTTCTCTTAGGTCATCGTACGAGGTCTTCTGTTTGAAAGAGTGTTAAAGCTTCAGTGTTGCAGTGAACTTCAAGTCCTTTTTTATGTGCTCCAGCCTGAATAGTGTAGTAATAAAATAACATATATTTTATTCACCATTTTACAATTCTTATTGTATTAGTAACTATAATCCAGTGGGTTCAATATACTGGCTGCTTTTGATTCGAAAGTAAGCAAATTAAATAACATCATAATTTGTAAAAAGGTGGCATCATTTTTAACATTTTGATAGTGATAGTAAAACTATGAAATTTGGGTTGCGATACATATAGAAATAAAAACTTTTTATACAATTGATATGGATATATATATTGTTATAATATATTTGCAATATTTGATGCCAACAGAACCTTCGAATCGAGTCTAAATGAATCAGAAAGAAGGCAGATATATAATAGTGAAAGCTTTCAATATCATTCATGTTTATTCAGACAAAGAAATGAAAATATATGCATTCAGCAAGTGGATGATTTGCACTTTATTCAAAGAGGCATGTTTAATAAGCATAAAACACGAAACCAAGATAAAATTCCCCTAACTAAGATAACTGGTGTATCAAACTTACCAACTATGAACTTAAGTAGTTATAATACCATTATTAAAAAATGCTGACTAAACTTACCGAGACTTCGTTCATATCTTCCTCTCTTTGGTTCTTCTTCCCAGGACGTTCCATTTCTGTATAAAAAATATAATCACTTTTATTAATATGAAAAAAATTAAATGGAATAAAGAGTAAAGTATTTTAAATTTTATTTTAAGAATTCCATATACGTGAAAAGAGATTCCATATACGGAATGCTTACCATATAATCTAATGGTTCCCTCCGTGTCTCCAATGCTGTTTTTCGAAATGCATTTGTAACCGCCGAAGTCACTGCTTTGCAAACGCTTTATATGCAAAACCATCTCAACCGCGTACATGTTATTCTCCTTTTCAGTGAGCGTATATCTGTCACCGGCAATAATCATTTCACCTGAAAGGTGGAAAAAAAATTGAAAAGAAAAATCAAATATCTGAAGCCGCAGTAAAGAGACAGGATTGGAAAATGACTAAAATTGAAAATGAATAGATTTTTTTTTCGTGCTCATTCCTTCAGTCGTGGATCAAATCGTCGATTTTAGTAGAAAAAGAATTTGTCACGTTCCATGGGAAAACAAAATTTGCTAAAATGAACTTTTTGCAGCAAATGCAGTCAGTATAAGAGCATTTCAATAAATTTTTGTTGAATTTGATAGATACTGCAAATCACGAACTTAATAAAATCGCGCTATGGTACGAGTATATTCTTCTCATATAAAAACGAAGTGCAAAACTTAGAATGTTGATTTTACTGTTGTTGTTGCTGTTGTTGTTGTTGCTGTTAATCTTTGACTTACCATTTTCCCGTTGCCAATAATTGATGGCTTTCGGTGACGCCTCAACGTTGCAAATTAAAGTGACATCTGTCAAGACAGGAGCTCCAACCAACTGGTTTGGCACTTGCACCAAAGGATGAACTGCAAAGAAAAAGCATATGCTGGATTGTGAAATTTGAAAAAAAAGAGGAAAATATCTCAAAGCAATTATTTGGACAATTTAAATCAATTAACTGCAAATATAGCATACTTTTCCATTTCGACACAACTTCAAACTCTAATTGAAAACCTAATGACATAAGCTGTTGGCATTTGAAAAGCAGATTAGTTTCGACTTGAGTATTTGCTTTCTGTTCTTAATATTTTTTGTGAATTTTTATATGGTTTCGAAGCTTAACATTAGTTTATTACATTTATAAATATGGTTTCCAAGCCAGGATTTAATATTTTCCAAATTTTAATTGGTGATTTCAAAATTTTACATATCATTTGTTTAATAAAAATTTTTAAATTTAAGTAAGTATTTGTTCAATTCAATATTTTTATTAAGGGATTAGGTATTAGTAAAAAAGTTTCTGATAAAATTTTTACTTAAAATACAATGCAGATTTTATTCAAATATTTTCAATACAGTTGCAGTGCTTTAAAATATTTTATTATTATATTTCAAATTGAATCATTTAAAAATTCAATAAATTTTTTTGTTGTTGTAGTTTACTACTTTTCGAACCTCTCTTTTAAATATATTAGTCTCTATAAAGTAAAATAATCACTATACTCATATTGACGTTAAAATCAAATTTAATGGAATCATAAAAAAATAATTTAATAATAATTTAAAAATTTCAAACCGTCCGCCACATTACTAGACCACCCGCAGATGCGCCAGAACGTTGAAAAAAATATGAAAGGACTTGCAGAGAACCCATCAGTTGCCGAACCTCTTTAGGTCTCCTACCTAACAACTAGCAAAATAACTGTGATTCAAGTCTGAGCACTTCACTTACAGCTGTCATTTTCTGGCCCTTCATTAAACAAATATGCCGCTATCACACGGTCCACACTAACTCTCATTGGTCTAGTATTTTTGGGTTCCCCATATCCAGAAGTCAAGAAACTTTTTATTTAGTGACCATGAATTTGTATTCAGTGCAGTTGAAATGAATTGTGAAGTGTTGTCTACTGGAAATTTTTTCGAGGTGGGTCAAAGTAAGTCTCACGCTGAATTGTTTTGAACCCACGAAATCTTTATCTATTCATATGGAATGGCTTTTATAGTACAGTAAAACTCTAGTATTTTACAATACTCCAAGAGTTGAGGAGGTAAACACGAACCTGCATAGTATTCGTCCATTTATAAAAAAGGATGTATCAGCTACATCAACACTTTGGTATTTTTTATATTCCAAACTAAGAAGTTATGGAGTTTTAAAGCTGGTGAGTTTAAAGGCTACAGTTTAGTCAAAATAAAGCGTTAAGTGTTTTCTATTAACTTTTGTTGTTTTGAAGCGTACTTTGTGTGGCAGTAAAGAAAGCTGCTGTTATATCCACCATCTTTCTTTGGAATATTTAGTTGTCCACAAGTTAAGAACTTTCAAAACTTAAGACTTCCAAAACTTTTTTGCGGTATACATTTAGCATCTGACTAAAAAGTTGTGCTGGTTTTTATGTAGACAAAGCAAACGCCCCTCTGTTTCTCTTTCAATTGATTTGTGAAATATTGAATTGTCCATTCTCTCTTACTGGAATACTTGGTTCCATTCAAAAATTATGGTGCACTGTAATATGTGCCAACAAAACTTACGTTCTATAGGTCGCTCATACTTTTTTGGCTTCTGTATGGCGCAGTAGCACGGACGTTATTACAGAATGATTAAGCATCAGTAGAAGTATTCGAGACAAATGTTCTTCGTTAGATCATTTATCCTCTACGAGTTGGCGACGACTACCACATACGAATAAACCACAAGCTGTATGAGTTTTATCACGATATTGACATAATTCAGCGAATTATCATCCAGCGGCTTCGCTGGTTTGGTCATGTCATGAGATTGAAAATACTCCAGCAAAAAAGGTATTTGAAGCAGTAGTTGGAGAAAGAAGTCCGCGTCTCCAATGGAGTGAACAAGTTGTGGGAGCACTAACCGGATTTAATGTACAAGACTGGAGAAGGTGCACATGCTGCAGAGGCACCTGGTGAAATATGCCCGTTAACGGGTTATTAGGGCCACATAAGTAAGTATGTAAGTAATATGTGCCGTAAAGTATAGTTATGTGATGTATTTTACACTGAATGACAAGGTCCAAGTCATATAAATTAATTAAAATTTGATCGTGATTTCAATTATATACCTTGTGATCAAAAAAGAACTTATTCGTACTTTTTTTTAAATTATCGCGCTTATCCAATCGGTAATTTTTTTTTATTTTCACACTGGCAACACTATTATACACATTCTGTCAAAGCATGTGTATAAAAGCATATCGCACGATTAATTTTAGTTTGGCGTCTGTACAAAAAAGTCGAAAAATTTTCGTTTGGCGATTTTTAGTTTAATTTCATTCAAAAACAGCGTCTTGATGTGGCCAAAGAGATGATGATCAACGCAAATAGTGACCCCACATTCATCGAACGCAGCATAACTGGTGATGAGACATGGGTCTATGAGTTTGACATGCCCACCAAACAACAATCGACCGAATGGTGCTCCGAAGGTGAGCCAAAACCGAAAAGAGAACGCCAAAGTCGGTTCAAATCAAAGTTATGCTGACTGTTTTCTTCGATATTTGTAATGTGGTGCACTACGAATTCCTTCCGGACGGTCAAACGATCAACAAGGAGTATTATATGGCCGTAAAAGAGGCCAGATTTATGGAAGGAAAACTCATGGATTTTACACCATGATAACGCACCGGATCACACAGCGTTGGTTGTGTCGCAGTTTTTGTCCAAAAACTCCACCAATATTATCAACCAAGCACCGTACTTTCTAGATATGGCCCCGTGTGACTTTTTCCTCTTCCCCCCACGCAAATTGCCATTGGCAGGAACGCGTTTTGAGACCATAGAGGCCATAAAAGAGAATTCGCTGCGTGAACTAAAGACCATACCTTCGACAGCCTATAAAACTTGTATGGAAAATTTGATCAAGCGTTGGCATGCATGTATTGCCGCAGGAGGAGAGTTCTTTGAAGGCGATAATAATTTTTTTTTGATGAAATGGTATATACTGCACATAATTTTTTTTTTGAAACACGAAATTCATGACCTTTTGTATATTATAGATCACAAATAAGGTTTTATAACTTGAGTACTATGTCATTAAAAAGAAAATTTTGAAAGTTAATTTAATTTCATATATAATCATTTGAAGGTAGAAAGCATTCCTTTGTCCTTTTGAAATCTAATCCACAATTTCTTGAGCAAATATCACACATTCAAAATGTATCTAATTAAAAAAAAAATAAAACATTCATTCAAAAGTATAGAATTACTCATTTATAAATATTTCAAGACTTTTATTTATGTAAATTCGTTTTAAAAATATTCTCTATTATTTTATTTATTTATTAAAAAGTAAAACTCATGAACAGAAATTTCAATAAAAATTTTCCCTTTTATATGCCACAAATGTGCCACAAAGCACACTCTAATGTCTACTTTTATAGTGTCTAGAATAGAAAAAAACTACAAGAAAAATAGAAAAATGGGAAAATAGAAAAAGAAACCCACACCACGTCTGATGTGATTTTAATTGAAAATGAATTAGTTTGCTGCAAGTTGCAAAAGTTACAAATAGTTCTTCCATAACGTAACATATGAGCTAGTAACGCTATTGTGAAGTGGCCAATATCCTTAACCTCGTGCATTTATTTTTTCCTCTACTTTATAGTGATTTACAATTTTTCCTTCTATTCGGTTTAACGATATTTTGGCCACATGCAACATATTGGCAATAGTTGGTCTCTGCTCTTCGGGTTTGTTTGTTTTTTGGTAGACCAACAAATTGCATTGTTGCTGTTGTTGTTCTGTTCTGCTCTGTTCTGTTGGTTTATTGGCTTCTGGCTTCTGGGCTCTGACTTCGTCCTTATAGTCTGGCTAACAACATTTGCTGATTTATAGGATTTGTGTACATTTATTGTGTGAATTTATGCCATTCTTTGTGCAAACATACTTAATACAAGTTAAGCAGCAGCATAAGTGGCAACAGATAATGGTAACATGTGTCAACTGATTTTCTTCTCCGTTCGCCTTTTTGTTTTCGATGTTTATGGTTCCTGTTAATGTTGATGTTTTATAGACAGTGATCAGAAAAAAAGATACAGAACACATTAGTAACGCTACATTAAATACATTTGCAATTCATGTGAATTGTGCTTTGTATTTAAAAGCATTTATATACTCGTAGTAACTATTCGTATTAAGACAGAGTGAATTGAATTAATAGTTTCAAGTCGTAGTTATAAGAAGATATACATTCCAAGATTTAACATAGGCTCATTCAAATAGTTAAGTGTGTCTTTCTAAGAACTCTAATTTTAAAAGTTACTCAATGGCTTCATTTGCATGACAATTGTGTGCCATTTTTGGTCAATTTTCGGGGATATGTCCATTGCGGTTGGCTTGAATGAAACGCACATTGAATTTCCAATTTCAGAACAGCTAATATTGTATTCAGTAATAACTCTGCGAGTGGTAGCTGGAAGTGGTCCAATATCTCAGAAGACCAGCGATTAGATATATTCTCAAAAACACTAAAACAGAGGTGAGAGACGAGACGTTTTTTTGAAAAAAAAACGCTCTCTGAATTTCGAATTTCGGAACAGCTAATATTGTATTCACTAATAACTCTGCGAATGGTGGCTGGAAGTGGTCCAATATCTTAGGTTCACTTATGAAGACCAACGATTAGATATATTCTCAAAAATACTAATACAGAGGTGAGAGACGAAAACACAGGACCACTAAGTAATAATAAAACGCTTATTGATTTTATTCCGTGACATTATAAGAACCTGATTGTATGCCACAGGTTCGTATGTTACTGGAATTTATTTATTGTTAAATAAAGATAACCATGTTGAAATCATTGTGAATTAAAGCCAAGTCAAATATTAAAGAATAATAATAGAAAAATAGC